TAAACTGCTGCGCACATATTTCTACAGAAGTATCTACAAACACAAGTTGTTTATTGAGAAGAGATTTCTTATTAGTTACTCTTCGTTTATAAACTGTCAGCGTATGTCTATAAGAGATTCGGATGAGTTTTTTTTTTTTGTTTTCGTGGAAGAGGGGAAATCTTCAAAAGACATTCAGCCATTTGTATGACTGGGTAGTGTCGGATTCCCGAGGAACAAGTCCTACCGACTGAAACCCCTCTACCTCAGACCGTTCTAGGACCAATTAAGGTCCTCTTCAGTCGATGTGATTATGGTAGTGTTATGAGATTATGTTTTGAGTTGGTCGGCTGAGTAGAAGTCCTACTCTACTATATGTACTTTTATACAACAAAACGGGGATCATATTGAAAACTCTAAACTGTCCGGTAGAGAAAGGCGTCCTCTAAGGGGTAATTCACTGTATTTCGAATCACTTATGTATATATAGAAACTTTAATATTTTTATTAATAATTTTGTATGTACTTATGACAGAAGTTCTAGTAGTACTTATTCCATCAAGAAAACAAAAATTATAATAATAACTGAATCATTGTTTACCAGAGTATTATTTGATGAGAATTTGGACATCCATTTAAATGAAAAAATAACTCAAATAATCAAGTCATTACATTTTGCATTTAGTATTTTAAAAATTGAAAAAGGCTAAGTATTTCAATTCAAATAGAAATTAACATTTAAAAACGGCATTTAAAATAGGAAGATTTTTTTTGTATTTTCATTGTATATTTATATCACAAATACTGCATATTATTATTAACTATTACAAAATCAACTACTAATGTAGTAGCGTGCAACATATAATAATGCAGTTTGTATTTGGTCTCTTTTTAGTAACAATGAAACGTTAATTCACATACTTAAGGGTAGTTTAGGAACAGGGATCCTTGCTATGCCGAAAGCCTTTAAAGATTCTGGAATGGTGAACGGCTTCGTCTTCACGTTGCTAATAGGTTTCTTATGCACATACTGTCTTCATATGCTAGTAAGGTTAAAGGAATTATTAAACAAAAAAATTATTTCATTTTGCAGTCGTCTTCTTTATTATAGGTTCAAGCTCAGTATGTACTTTGCAAACGGTTAAAAATTCCCATGCTAACATATCCGGAATCCATGAAGGTGGCTTTAAACTCTGGACCGATTTGGATGAGACGGTTTGCAAATATGTCACCGTAAGTACAACACATACTTACTCGGAATACGTTTAAATGCCTATTGACAAATAAAATGACTCGAAGTGGTCTGTATTCTGTCGACACTGCCAGACGCGGATCGCGATTTCGATCTGTTTGGATT